CCCCCCCCCCCCCCCCCAATTCCCCCACATCTCTGCCGACCCTGGGTAAATCTTCTAACCAAATTAGAGCGTCGGTACGACGTTCGCATTCCGAGAACTAAAGGGCCTCCCCCCCGCCCTCCCCATCCCACGTCTCCGCCAACCCTTTGTAAATCGTCTAACAAAACTAGTGAGTCTAAAGTGGATTAGGTTTTTCTGTTCTTTGTTGGTAAATGTTCATGATTTGTCATTTTTCTTTGCTATTTTTCATTAAAACAAAAGATGAAAAATTGTCCGTTTTTGTTTGTTTGTTTGTTTTCTATTTATTGAAAAAATGGAAAAATTATTCGCAACACTTGTCATTTTTTTTCATTTCTCTTGTTAAAATGAAATTATGGGAAATTAGGCGATAGGTATGCCATTTTTCTATTTTTTCATTTTTTGATCAAAATGAAAAAGTGAAAAAATGGCTCGAATAAATATCATTTTTTCATTTTTCTGTTTTTCTATTTTTTGGGAAAAACGGAAAAATCGAAAAATGATCTAGGACTCGGAGATTATTTTATTTTTCTCACTTTTCTAACAATATCAAGAAAATAAAAATAGCAAAATACCGCTTTTAGCCGTTAACAGTATTTTTTTGTATTTTTGAATTTAACTTCAAAATTAGAAAAATGAAAAAATGATCGATTTTCCTGACCATTTTCTTTTTTTCACTTTTTTTCTGTACTTTGAAATATGCAAATATGATAAGGATAAGTAATATTTCCTTTTTCCGTTTTTGTTGGAAAAATGGAAAATTAGATTGGCCGAAGTGTGCACGGACCGTTGAAAAGGCGAGTTTTTCCTCAAAATCAGTTTAACAGTCCAGCGAAATTTTTAAAACATTATAAAATACAGATGGATTTTGTTTAGTTCTATTCTTTTATTTAAACTTTTAAGGAATTTGACGCAAGGTTTCAGTTTTGAAAAGTTTAGCACCCATTTCGTAGTTGACGGATATGTCCGCTCAGCGAGTCTTTTTAGTCTTCCAAGCTGGTGAAAATCAACAATTACAATAATAATATCTAATATAAAAAAATTAAATATATAATCTAAATCTATGTACACATGAATATAAAAAATTATAAAAATTACAAAAAAATATAAAAAATATAAAAATTACAGCTGAATTGATCTTAGGTTAGACTTAAAAATATTAACATTATCGGCCAGCTTGACATCTTCTGGAAGTTTATTCCATAGTTGAGCGCGAGTTTATTCCATAGTTGAGCGATATTAAAGCGCTGTAAACATCACTTTTTCAATTTCGTTTGCAGTTTCTTGATGGAACAGACATCCGCGGACTGGACCTTTCTTGGTTGCGCGCGCAATATGCTGTAGTATCCCATCGATGTTTCCTGCCACAGTATAGCATTGCTGAGAACATAAGTTATGGAAACGAAAAAAGAGCATGCGCAGTAACCAGGCGGGAAATTGAAGACGCTGCCTACTCAGCCTACGCGCACGAATTTATCAGGGAACTGCCGAAGGTGAGTCACGTTTTTCACGTGCGCAGGTTACCACTGAGTCATATGATGCAGTTTACACGTTTTCGATAAGATCCGCACTTAGCAGTACCGCGGCGATACACGGCGATGCCTTTTATTTTTTAGTGATGTGATTTTTTTGGTATATAAGGTCTGAAACGTGTCACACAAAATATAGAGCGCAAGTATTAGGGTGGTGCACGCCGCAGAAGAGTTAAAAAACAATTTCCCAGGGCGCGTCTCATAATATATTGCGCGCCCTCAGAACTACCATCTGCGTAAAACACGATGTGATCCAGAAGAATCAAGCAGACTTTCAAATAATCAATTATTTTGCTGCCAGTATAAAACTTAACGTTTTCATCGCTCTTTTTATACAATGCCGTTTTAAGTTCTTCCAAAGGTTTTTGCTCCTTACCCTTCTTTTAAGATTAACTTATATTTTACACAACTCTTTTCAGTGTCTCGAGATATTTGTATCGTATTTCATCTATTAGCAAGCAATCATTTCCCCTTTGCTTGATGTTGTAGGGTTATGATACTGTCCCCGATGAAGATCAAATCTCTTTAAATGAGAGTCAGAAAATGAGAATCGTCATAGCACGAGCGATCATCAGAGGACCACCGATTATAGTGCTTGATGAGTTAGAAGAAGAAAGTCAGGTAGGATAAATTATCAAGATATCAATATATCTTTCACTTATCGTAGGACCTTTTTAATGTTCGTCTTAATGTCCATTCGTGCGTTTGTCTATCTGCCTGGCATGTCTGTCTGTTAACCTCTGCCTTTTTTACAATAACTGAGCGGTTTATCGCGCGCTGATTGGTCTAAAGCTAGGGTCTATGAGTACATGTACCATGGAAATGACGAAATGATTGCGCAATGCACGAGCTTGATTTCCCAAGAAACCTCACCGGAGCAGAGGTTTAAAAAACTTAGGGCCTGTTTACATGGAGCTGGGGGACTCCAGATAGGTGAGGTAACATTTGGCGGGTCACCCCACCTGTCATGTAAATGTGATCGAATTAAAATGACAGATTATATGGACAGGCGGGTTACCCAACCAAAGGGGGTTACCTCACTTACCTGGGGTCCCCCACCTCCATGTGAACAGGCCCTTAATGTAACTATAAAAATCAAATACACAACAATTTTCCACGGTCTGCACTCCGACAAATTACATAAATGACGCCAAAATGCTCAAGGAAACCCCTCGCCTGGGACTCGTGGTCCTACTTGATTTTTAAACATTTTGACGTCATTTCTGTGGTCTGTAGAAGAGTATATATACCATGGAAAATTGTTTTCTGTTTGAAAAAAATATACATGACTTTTTTTCTCTTTACTTCGCTGTTGATTATGAATTTAAGATCAGAGTCTGGTGTGAGTGTTTTTCCAGCAAATAAACAAATAAGCTTTTGTAATGAATGATCGTATAATATTTGGACCCACAACAGCCCCTTTCCGAGAAACTGAAGTTAAGAAGTTTGAGTCCCGTTGTAGATGTGATCTCATTTCTTTTATTATGGCGGTTATTTCTTTACATTGTAAAAAGAATATGCCTGACGCTGTCTCTACAGGCTGTAAATGATGCAACGCACATTCTCTGCCGCAACAGAACTTGTCTTATACTCACAAGACATCGACAAACTATTGAAGCTGCAGACCACATTGCTCTTATGTATCGTGGGCGCGTCATTGAACAAGGGACGCTTGAGGAACTTCAAAATCAAGGACGTTTATACCATTTACTAACAAGTTTGCAAGATGTAGATGAAGATTAGCCTATTATGATACTGAACTCTTTTGGATTTTATAACTGACAAACATTTTTGACTACCTAGAACTGTATGTATCTGTTCTCTTTCTACGTTTCCTTGTATATATATTTTTATGCATGGTTTTTATCACTTTTTAAAAATTATTTTATATATTTCCATTTATTTTCTAAGTTGTATCAAAATTACAGCTCCTCATGAGAAACACTCTTTGCTTCAGTCTTTGGCTTCTTTGGTCTCAATGCCCGAACCCTGTTGGATTTTGGCATCTCGACTTGAAGGCAATCTAAATGGAGAAAAAAAGGCATTTCGTTGCAACTCACTCCATTTTAATTTCAATTGTTTCTGCTCTCACATGCAGCTTTGTATCCTGGCTTTCACTTTCACCACGTTATTATTTTTCATTAGATCTTTGAATGTTTTCTTCGTAAATCAGAAAAAATGTTTCTTGAAAAATGACTTTGATAGCCAAGCTAAAGCACTGGAGGCCTTAAAACTGCAGAAAAAATTTGAAGGCCTAATCCTTTCTGGGCAGTATCGCACGCTCTTCGGGGCATGGATGTGGAATTAGTGTAACTAACCTTGATTGTCGTCACGCAACACTCTTTTCGCACAGAGCCACTTAGTCAGATCACGTGATTGCGCTTTCATAAACCAATGGATGAGCAATTCTTGTGTTTCCACTAACATGTCATGACACTAGTAAGAAATGAGAACACGATTAAAATCCTTATTGTATTTAGCAGATTAACAGGTCGTACTTCTTACCTAATCTTTTCCTAACCTTGCCTAAGGTAATAGCTCGTTATTCTTACCCGAAGTAAGGTTAATCCTTATCTAATTCGACTAATTCTGACTTATCGTGATCTTAACCCTTATTAGTCCTTGCCTGTATCATGAAAGGCAACTCCCCCACCGCGTATATACGTTTACACGTGATGTAGTTGTTATTTAGCAATGCAAAATATTCCTTTACAGACGGACGTCTTAAACTTGCTTTTTACTCCAAGGTATAACTTACATCTCCCACTAACCCCTCGTATAATTCTCTGTACCTGTTTTCTGAGCCGTCTTATTTCGCCAGTGGGATCATCTATATCTTCTTCGGGTGTCGCAAACATCCATTTCTGGATTTTCGATTCCTTGGTTACTTCTTCGATGTGTTTGCGGTAATAGCTTTTTGCTAGCATAACAAAAATACAGCACCCTATTAGCTTTCAACCGAGTACCGCCGTATTTATGCTAGAGAGCATATTAGACGTCTAGCGGGAGAGATAAAACGTCCTTAGCAGTGAGGAGGGAGGAGAGACGGCTCTGTTCTTAGGCTATAGAGGGTTAAGCCGTCCTTGATTGATTTAGAGGATCTAAAATTAATGACCTAATGGTCCTAAAATGAACCAAAATGACCTTCAAGGATCTACAGTCGGATGCAAGGGTCATTTTCAGTCAATGTGCTTCAAATAATCTCTCTCAGCCTGATTTCCCGTCACTCTGAGGTCTCTCGAGGATGAGAGAATAGAGACCTTTAGATTCTAAGACGAGTACGACGTCGAGTACGAGATTTTCTCAATACTAAGTAGTGCTCGCGTGTGAACCAGCGGCATTTTGGCGGGAAAACGTGGTAGCCGTCGTCACTCTACTACGAATTTTGGCGATAATGTCGAAGTGGGCAAAACGAGTTATCAAATGTAGGAAGTTTTATCATTTTGCGTTTGGGAAAGCACACTAAAGGTAACAGTGCTAACTTTTCTAGTGAAAAATGGTAAAATGAAGCTTTCCGGGGAGTCTATATTTTAAGAATACGCAAAAAAAACTGTTAAGTCAAATCTCGTACTCGTAGTCGTTCTCGTCCTTGAATCTAAAGGTCTCTAGTTACTGTCTCGTACCCATGCTTTTTTAAGAATTTTTGGCAGCAGTTATGTTTTAGATGGTTTCCGCCGCACATCGAAAATACCCATGAACCCTTGCGCCACGACTGCCTCCGAAGAACCCAAAAAGGGCCTAGGCACGAGACAGGGAGAGAATTCAAAATCTATCTGTTTTCGTCCTTTCGGTCAAATTGCTGATGGAAAAACTTACTTCAAGTAGTACCAGAGACGGTGGAGCAGGAACAAATAAATTTAATCCTACCTCCTCGTTTGTATCTGAATGGATGCTTAGCCTTGATGTTGTATTTTTTCATAGAATCACAGAAGTCTTCAGTTACTTTCAGGATAACTATTTTTCTGCCAAAGACGAATATGATAAAGCAAGAAACGCCGTGTTAGAGTTGGTAAATGGGAGTTTAAACAAAGGGCATTTTTTTTCCTAATTTTCTTTAAAAAAATATACGTCAGTCTTAGCTCAACTGAGGAAAAACTAGTTCAACAAACCCACTGAACACGCCCTCTTCCCTTGCATTCTCAACAAACCACGACACTCTGTTTTGCAAAGGAAACAAGCTGTATAACTCTTGACTTTTTCCCTCTGAAACAGCCCTCCTCCCCTCCCTGGGAAAGTTAGTACTTCTTAGAACAATTTAACCTTGCAGGAGACCATCATGAACTGAACAGTGCAGAGCAGTAACAGTAGATAACTGATAAGTTCTGATTTTGTAGGCAAACAACATTTGGCTGCAAGTCATTTGCTCCTTAAAGTCCATTTTTTTTTCTGTCACCTTTCTTGCTGACTATGACAAAACGTCGTGGTAGGGAGAGGTCTCTGACCAGATGAAATTTTCACTATAGCCAGCAAACCACAGGCATTGTTTTGGGCTTTCGTGAACTAGGGTAATGTTAGAGAGTAAGGTAGACAGAGTGGAATAATAACATTTCAACAATCAAGCATCACCTACTCTTTGTAATAAATTGGGCGTCCGTCGTTTTCTTGAGTTTTTCTGACCTTACCAATTGTTGTGAGCTTATTTTCGACTTCCACCGCCAAAAGCCTGCAAACTATGAAATATGCTGGATGTTATATCGTATTATGTGCAGAAGAGTTTATCATATGTATTAGTCATAGAGCAACGATATCAACCGGTTTCTTCAGTTTATGTTTTCCCTTCGGCTGATGGATGAGCAACCACCCGGGGAACTAGGCCGCTTTTCTACGGGGCCCCTTATAGATAACAATTTATTAAACAAGGTGGAATCAGTGGCTATAGTAATTGTCAATAGCCGCTGTAATAAAGTTGTACTCGGATTGAATCCCATATTAAAACAACAACAACAGCAGCAACTTTATTAAAGCCAGCAGAGGTGGAGGACTACACAACACCATAAACGCGGTAGACAATGCGGTAGGGAAAGGAAAGGAGGTTACCGGGGGTGGGATGAGAATAATTTTTCTTCACAGAGGCGACTGGAAGCTTTTGCCAAGTCACGTGAATCATGATATTCCGAAGCAGGTAATGCTAATTGACCAAGTAATATACACCAACCAAACTCTGTTACACTAACAGACTGGCAAAGAACACCATGTAAAACAAAAAAATCCTAATTGTAAGAATTGAATGGTTCGGGAAGTAGTCCATGCATTCATTCATTCAAAGTCATATTATAATTTTGATATGATCAGGAATTCCATTTACAACATTTATATAACTGATTGAATTATGCAAAGCATTGGAATATGTCACTGTTTTTTTTATTATTATTTCTCCAAATGCTGTAATAAGTGTACGTAGAAAATTATTGCTTCACGTAAGTCGAACTGAGACTAGAATTAAATTCATTAATTAAACTGACGTAAAAGAAACATTTCAAAGGCATTTTCTTACCATGACATTTTGTCGGAAGATGTTTCGTGGATTCTAAATCTTCCTCCTGACTGATGTCGATTTCTTCCTCATCGTCCTCCTCATCATCATCATCTTCGTCTTCTTCATCTTGATCTTCGTCATCACTTTCACTTTTTTCTGCTTTTTTATCCCTTTTGCCATACTTCCTATTTCCATCACTAGTTTCGTTTCTTATTGAGTCTTTCTTCACCCTTATGCCATCTATTACCACAAATTCATCATCGACCATCAGTTCTGAGCAAATTACATCATTTACAAGTAAAACTATGAGAAAAGCGATGCCATATATCAACCTGTGCATTGTTGGTTCAATGAGTCTCTTTAAGTCCTCGATCCTTGAACTTTCTCTGTTATGTCTCTGGTATTTTAAAGTTGCAACAGGTATACCGCAGGAGATAACTGATCCACAGTTATCAGTGATATAAAGTTTGCGCGTCAAACCATCAATCCACTTTAAAAAATAATAATTAAAATATGACCAGTCAGGTCTTTCGTGGCACAGTATCATTGTGTTACATAGCATAGTTAATCATGATAATTAATTTGTAATTTATGCAGTGTCTGTTCAGTGTAAACAGGGGCAATTACAAACTTCTGATTTTATTTTTATACCCTGTATATTAAAAGGAAATTTTAGGCCCTGGACTCTTACTCATTATGGACATAATTTACAAAATATATAATTTGCCGGTAATTTGAAAATATCGACCGCAGAATTATAAAATTGAAAAACATGTTTCTCTTAACTATCGCATAGAACGAATTGTTTCAACTCCGCCGTTTTAATCGAAGCTGAATAAACAAACATTTCTGACTCGACTCTCACAGGAAATATCTGAACGTCAAAGCACTAGAGATATCGGACAAAGTTAAGTCGAGTTCGATTAGTATAACGTGCTGCGGTTAACTTTTCTTGTTTAAAAATTTCTTAACAAGTTCATTATTTCTTAGATATGGTTCTAAACTACAGGAAAAGGTGAATAAAATGCTACATACATCGCTGAAAATTCCACCCTTTCTTCCATTGCCTTTTTCAACTTCAATGTATGCACCTAGGGGATCTCACACTGGAATACTGATCATAGAAAATAAAAAAGCTTTCGCGGTAATCGTTTCTGCCAATCTTAATTTTTGCGGGTGTCTGAAACCAGATGAATCCTTCAATAGGAAAGCTTTTGAAGGTGTATAATGTAAAATGCGAGTTTAAACAAGCTAAGCCCAAGGAATCGTTTTCACAGGTGCATTTTGTAAAAAGCGAATATTTACTGACTTAAAGGTCAACTGTTAAAGTTTTCTTAAAATTGGCCAAACTCTTTTTTCATTCCAAACGTCAAATTGATCGAAGTAAAGCCAGTTATTACAATTCTTTTTCTTTTACATCATATGCTTGTTTGATTCGAATTTTTATCTCCAGTTTAATTAATACATTAACAAATGAATTCAGAAGATCATAGTCTATTATTTGTTTAGCTGTTATTTCATTCTTAGAACCTCAACTAAAACAGCCAATTGAGGAGTAACAAATGTTATCATCGCTGGGGAAAAATACGCTTGGAATAACTTAAAGTTATAACTCTGGAAGAAAGTAAACCTAGACACTATTCATATTTCAACTTACCTCCTTCGACATTCCGCGTATTACTATGAAGTCAATATGGATGTTATTAACTTTTCTCAGTCTGTACCGGTTAGTTGTTTTACCTATCGTAACTTGTGTGGAAACAATAACTGTCGGTACTGACCCCAAAACGAAGAAAACGAATCCATACATAACGAAGTTTCACGAGGGAGCCGGAGCTAGGCCGACGAAATGCCAAGGTAAGCATACTTGTTTCCTATTTATTCGTATTAAATGAAAAGGACAAGTTTGAAACAAATTTCTTTGCCCGAGTTAGTACGCTTTACGAGTCAGCACTTTTCACAGAACGCCAGGGTTGAGAAAAAAAGTTTTAGTTTGAACTTTGAATAATGTATCTTTTATAGCAACATTTTCTTGCTGCCGCTATTTTAAGCAGTTTTAAGGTTGCTTTACACAACAGCTGAGTTGTACAATCTGCAAATAGCCTCTGGAGGGTGCAATTAATTACCGATCAATGTGCTTTTTCTCCACACTGTTCTAAACTTTAATTCTCTATCACTTTTGGCATATTAATATGTTTCAATACTTCACCAATCTGTAAACGTATGAAAAACTCTTAGCGTTGCTACAACTGACAAGAGAAATGGTTCCTATTTGATTGTTCCTTTACAGTTTGTCGCCTTATGGTGACAGAATTTCTTGAACGAATGAAAAAAACAGATCACCGGGAGGACATACCTCGAGGGTACATACTTGAAGACCTAGAGGACCACGAGAAGAATATTCATTACGAAAAATCGTAAGTTGACTTCTTTAATTTACAGCGTAGTTTAAAGAAAAATGTTTCATATACTGCAATCTGCATGTGAAATACCGTGGATGCATTAAAGAGCGCTTTTATACCAAGCCTATATTTTGGTCGAAAGATAAGACACAAAAGCAGTGATTGTTAAAATTGCCGTTCATTATGGAATCAAAATACGACCACAGAAAAATGTACTAACCGTACTAAAACTTTTAAATAGCCTTTCCTTAGTCCTACACCAAACAAATAAGGGAGAGAAATGATCCAAATAATACTATGCTTACACTCTCCCCATCTGCCAGACTCGCTGCATCTGGTAGAAATTAGTTGGCTATGTTACCGAGCGTGGGCGAGAACAAATCCAGCCAGCGGTCAGGGCGAACTTGAACCTGGGAGCTCCGGATTGTAATTCCAGTGCTCCGACTGCTGGCTAGCCTACCTTTCCAAGTCGATACAGCTGTCTAATGATGTTTCGTTGATGTTCCCCGATTATTTTTTTAGGGAACTCCGACTGATGGATGTACTTGACGATTTGTGCGACAGAATGAAACTTTACAGCGCAAGGGCTGGGCCCGAATTTCCTTATATTAAAGGAGGTATGACCTGAAGTCAGCAGTTTATAACTGAAAATGTTACGTTGTGACAGAGTTTTGACTGCTATGAGATCAGTGTTTTGTCCCATTCATTCGCATGCTTCCTAAGAAACCTGGTACTGAACATTCCCACATTGCACCGGGATTAATTGTTAGAAGTGGTAAAAAAGGAGACTGTATATAACGAGCCCACCAGTTACGAAGACACCACGGTATAACGAATGATTTTCTTTCCCAGAGTTGCAGTAAATTTTATTGGTCTCGAGATAACGTACTCCCATCTTGAAGAACACATTTTGTCAATCGCTGGGTATCCTTGTATAAATATTAAGAAATAGGCTTTTTTTTCCGCGCTGAATCGAGTGAGATATTACACGAAGGCGAGTGATAATTTTTACTAATATTTTATTATGATTTCAGCTAAGAGTCAGCTTCGCGAAGTAATGGATGATTTAACAAAGAGATCCAAAGTAAAACTTAATTATGAATTGCCAGATGACGTCATCGAGGACTACACTTACGAGATTGGAAGACTCAAATTTAAGGTGAGCAGCAACCTAGACCTGGGGACGAGGTTGGATGAACAGATTTCAAAATCTAGTCTATCTTAACGGACACCTCTGTAAGAGGAACATCTTGCTGAGGCAGTAGTCAGCAAGAATAAGTCTTATTTTCGTTGTTCTTCAAATCCCTCAAGTGCATGACTCTTGACTCACGTTGTTATCTCCTAAGGGTATGGGGTTGGACTTCGGGGCGGAGCCTCTTCGTATAAAACTTCAGTCAGTACCCCCCGGGAGTTCCGACGGACACAAGAAGAGAATGACAACGGCCCTCGATCTTGCCGCTTTTTAGGCTTTCCATTATCAACCCCAAAGATTTCTATCAAGAGGCTACTTCTTCCCTTCCCGAGGGTAGTGGTTCGCCTATATTCATCCGCATGATGTTTTTTAATTTAGTGTGTTCACATGCTTGAGATACATGAAGAGGACATAACACAGTGGTATTTTGGTGATCAAAAGGAGAATCTCCTGGACTGGCTATGCGTTGAACGAGTTCTGGACGAAAATGAACAAGGTAATTATAAAAGAAGGGGCGAAATTCTTAGATGGTTGCAAGCCATCACTCAGTTATTCCCATCATTAGAGCTGCGATTCTTTTGGCCAGCGCCACAGGGGCAGGGGAAGCTAGGGGAAGAGGATGTCCTTCAGGATGGTCGATCCGTCAAGTAAGTGAGGACGCGAACGAAAATAACATGGCTAGCCAAGAGAAAACTAGGTTAGAGGTGGAAATAGCCTGCGAGAACAGCCTTCTTTCCTTGCTTCTTGTGAGGGGAGACGGCTCTACAGAAATAGCCTCTTTCTGGTTCCCTCTTTGGTTAGTCGGTCGCTCTCTCCAGATCTATCCAGACTGCTTCAAGTCTAACTCCCAAAAGATTTTCCCGCACACATATTAATCTCATCCAAATTGGCGTATATCTTGATTATTTTCTAGACTGCCTGAGTGCCTCGACGGAAATGCCAGCAGACTATTACTCGTTCATGCAAGATAACAATTCGTCTGAACCAGTCAAGCCAACAATTCCAGCGAGAGAAGAAAAACATTGGGATTTATAACTGTAGATCCAATAGAGGGGGCGTTGTCTTCATGTCCAAACGATTGATTTTTGTTGCAAGCCGGACATGAAGATAGAAGATTCGACTGTGGCTGCCCAAGGTTTTAGAATGCAGGAAAGACAAAAAGAAGTCAAAAAAGACCAAAAGTGAACGACAGCCGACGGGACTCTGGCAATCCCCTTTCAATTAAATTTCTTTCTGAAGCATTGGTTAAAATTATTTTGAAATTAAATTTATTATAGAGGGACGTGTAGATCTCTCTGTAGCCCTCGTGTAGACGAGCCTTATCTCCCTCCACACCCTCCCTCAACCCCAGAACAAAAATTGGCGTGAGGAAAAGTCTTTTCCGTCTTCGACCCTAAACTAGGTCACGTAATGGTTTTGTTGATAGGTTTCGAAAGATATATAAAGGAAACCGAAACCTCAAAATTGTTCAAACTATTATAGCTTCTACCAAATCAAGAATGTTGGCAGCTAGAATTCCTTCAGAAAAAAGAGCGTTAATTTTTGTAATTAATTAATTAACTAATTAATTTTTGATTTTTCGTATATCCTTATATACATGTACGCCACGATTAGCTATAGCTAGTTAACAGTACATAAATCACGCTTTAATAAATAAAGATGTAGTTAGTGATAGCGCGCCTACGTCTCCAACGTGGATACTATTTTTATTAGCTCAAGTGTACATAATGCAACTATTTCGACTTTTTAAATTCACGTTTACATAGTCAAAACATGTTACTTTTCTTGTAGAACGAGACAAAATACTTTGTTTCGGCCTATTTTGCTTCAAAACAAAGAAGAGTAAATTTCCTATTTTTGACCAACAACCATGGACTAACCCCTTTAGAAAAATTCAAAATTTCCGACTTTTTTAAATTCACGTTTTTATAGTCTAAGATGGCTAGTTTTCTACCTGCAAGGTCAAAAAACACTTTCTTTTGGCCTATTTTGCTGAAAAATAAAAAAGAATAAAATAAGTAATTTTTGACCAAAAACCATAAACTAACCCCTTTGAAAGAATGCAAAATTTTCGACTTCTTTAAATGGATGTTTTTAAAGTCTAAAGTAGCTAATTTTCTTTCTACAAGGTCACAAAACAAGTTGTTATGTTTTGCTAAAAAAGAATAAAGGGCAAAATTTCCATTTTTTGACCAGAAACCATGGTCTAACCACCTTGAAAAAATGCAAAATTTTGGACTTGTTTTCAAATCGATGTTTTCATAGTATAAAATGACTAGTTTTCTATCTACAAGGTCAGAAGAAACTTTCTTTTGGCCTATTGTGCTAAAAAAGAAAAAAGGCAAGGTTTCCAATTTTTTAGCAAAAAAACCATAGACTAACCCCTTTGAAAAAATGCAAAATTTTCCACTTTTTTAAATCGATGTTTTTATAGTGTAAAATGGCTAGCCTGTTTTCTGGAAGGCAAAAAACATTTTGTTTTGGCCTATTTTGCAGGAAAACAAGCAGGGACAAAACTTCCAATTTTTGACCAAGAACCATTCACTAACCCCCTTAAAAAGATGCAAAATTTTCCACTTTTTCAAATCGATGTTTTTGTAATCTAAAATAGCTTCTCTTCTATCTACAAGGCTACAAAACACAAAGTTTTTACCCTTTTTTGCTGAAAAAGAAAAAAGCATAAAATTTCCAATTTTTGACCAAGAACCAAGGACTAACCCCTTTGGAAAAATACAAAATTTTCGACTTTTTTACGTCGATATTTTTTATAGTTTAAAATAGCTAGTTTTCTTCCTACAAGGCCTCAAAAAACTTTTTTTTGGCCTATTCTGCTGAAAAACAAGAAGGGACAAAATTTCCAGTTTTTGACCAAAAACCATAGACAAGCGCCTTTGGAAAATTGCAAAATTTTTTACTTTTTCAAATCGATGTTTTTGTAGTCTAAAATAGCTAGTTTTCTATCTACAAGGTCAGAAAACACTTTCTTTTGGCCTATTTTGCTAAAAAACAAGAGAGAAAGAAAATTTTAATTTTTGACCAAAACCATGGACTAACCCGTTTGGAAAAACGCAAAATTTTTGACTTTTTTAAATCGATGTTTCCAAAGCCTAAAATGGCTAGTTTTCTATCTACAAGGCTTCAAAACACTTTCTTATGGCCTATTTTTCTGAAAAACAAAAAAGGAGAAAACTTCCAATTTTTGGCCAAAAAGCATGGACTAACCCCTTTAGAAAACTGCAAAATTTTCGATTTTCTTAAATCGATGTTTTTATAGTCTAAAAGAACAAGTTTTTTTTATCTAGAAGGCTACAAAATACTTTCTTTTACGATGAGAGTAAAAGGAGGCATGAGTTTGCGGAATGGCACGTGGCACGGTTTGCGGAATGACATTATTATGCGGAATGTAAAATTTGGAAAATGGCGCAAAGAAATAAATTACACTGAAAAACACGTGCGCGTCTTTGCCGCGCCTTTTTGTTGGCGCCAATTTGAGCAACGTTGTTGCTGGTCCATTTATTACTGCTGGCTTAAAACAACAAGGCAGAGCAGAAAGCAACGATAAGCTTTACTGCATTCGCGTCTATGTATTACTTAATTGATACTTAATTTATTTTCGTTGCTTTCGACAATACTTTGTCTCTTTCTGCCCACCATTAATTTATAATAACGTCAAATGTCAAAACGCTAGAGGGAAAAGAACGCTTGTTGATCGTGAAGTTGGGCTAGCTACAATTCTAGGGATTATTAATTAATACAGGGGACTGATCAGATCATATTTGAGACTACATGAACGCCCCAAGTCAAACATTAATCTGTAATCCAGAAATCGAGTGAAGCGAACTGCTCCGTCTGTCTCCTTTCGCCTTTCGCCTTTCCGCGTGTCTTCGCACCTTCCTTGTTTGTGTGAAAGTGTGCGTTTGATCGTGAAAAAATGCTAAAACGGTAGGAAGGGAAAAAAAAAATACACACACTCAATTGCCAGGATTCGAACTCGCCCTTTTCCGCCATGCAGCTGTAAGCTTGGCGTGCCGGAAACTTGACCGAGCAAACAAAATACAAGATCTGTTTTCATCTCTGAATATTATGTCACGATCACGTAACCTACCGTCTGAAAAAGAAACACTTCTAACGCGGTTGCAAATACAAATATAGGTCAAATATAGGTAAAAGGAAACTGTAAAATTAATCGTGCAAACATCTTTTGCAGAAAAAATTAATTTATGACCTTCCAAAACATCTTTTCTTCAATGGTCGACTTTCGTGCTGTAGAATCGGTGCTGCCATGCAGCCCTACTAATAAAGGACCAGGCAAGAAGAATCTTTGTGGCTGTACGGAAAAGGCTAATCGACAATGAGCCTCCGTGGCTTTTTGATTGTCATCTAGTATGTCAACATTAAAACAGCGGCTCCGTTTGCAAATTGATTGGCGCCAAAAAGGAGGCACTTTACAGTTTAATTTATTTCTTTGAGTCATTCTTCATATATTACATTCCACATAATTATGTCATTCTGCAACCCATGCCACACTCATTCTGCCTTGTACCACAGAATTTTAAATACGCTAAACCATCCCGTTACTTGCGGGCGCGAACAATAGAAAACCCCTCATTACCCATCAATTCCTCGCGGCCCCTGTTCAAGCAAATCGACATTTTTTCTGACATACTGACTGTATATTTCAACTGTAAGTACTTTCCTTTATATACGCACGAGTTACTAGAGACTGCTTCCTCGGAATTTCGCCTTCTGGGAAAGATATCTCACTGTCTATCATAACTTCAAGAATTTTCGCCAGTGCACACGGACCAATGATACCATTCGTAAGAAATTGATTAAGAAGAACTCTAAAATACTTCACATCTGGACATGATGCAGTTTGCGGTGATGTAATTATTTCTTCGCTGCGTTACAAATCACATTTAGTCTTGCTTGCGTAAGCATCGAGACTCATAAATTCTCTCCCGGTCCTTTTCAGGACCTTTAACGAAAAAATTGCGCACAACTTTGCGTTACTCCAATTTGGCCCACAAATTTTGGCCACTTATGTGGCTAGTTCCAGTCCCCAGTCGGTTATTAGCGTAACGCAACGATTTTTTTGAAAAATGAGAAAGGCGGCAAGGATTTCGTTGTGGATTTTGCACAGAATGACCACGATAGCTTGTTTCGACGCATTTTGACCAAATACAAGTCAAGCAAATTATTTTGAAGGATTCTGGAGGATAACAAGCAAGATAAAGGCGAAAGTCCAGGTAAGAAAATAGTAAGAATCGCCGACATTGTCTACCACACATACTCTTTGATACTTTTCAAACAAACGCGACGAATTGTTCCCGCTTAGCTTTTTACCTTCAAAGCCTTGCTTATTTTGATAAATTCTGTCTGTAAATTCATATGTGCTTGTTTTTAACCCGATATTTCGATGAAAAACTAAAAAATAAAGCGTCTTTCGAAGGTAAACCGAGTAAACGAGTATTGAATTCATTATGCTAGTTAGCTTTAATCTCATTAGAATAATTTATGTAACAGCGTCAGAAAATAAATTTGTAGAAAACTGCTAGTTGCTCTATATTTTTGAACGATTTTCGGGCTGTTTTGTTTAGATATTATATGTTACACAAAAAAGACAACTTTCCTGGCAAAATTACATTGTTTATTAATGGCTCAGTTACTTCCAAGCATGCCCATCCCCACCCCCCCCCCCCCCCCCCCCCCCCCCCCCGTCCTCTTTTTCACAACACCCCACTCCCCCCCGCCGGCGCGCAAAAATGGGGTAAGATACCACCCCCCCCCCCAACCCAAAAACATCCCCCGCAAAAAAGCAAATCTCCTTCTTTTGTCAACAATGTACATAATATAACAAAATAACTAAGATAACAACACACACATCACATGCCCATCCCCCCCCCCCCCCCCCTCGCCTGGGCATTTGTCAGTTTGTTTTGGAAAAGCTGCAATGCCCCACGGTGGGGCTTAAAAATGGGGTATAAATTCCCCACCCCGGGACAACACCAAAATTTCCAGTAGGTAAGCTGCAA